CGCAATAATCATCTTTGTAGAGAAAGAAAGAGAGAAAGAAAGATCAAGCAACCAAAATGTGGTAACATTAATGTTTTTCTACCCTGCTTGTACTTTTCCATCCTTGATAAATGGTGTGCCAGTTTCTTAATGTGTTTCTACTTTTCTTAAAGCAGAAAATTACAAATCACACAATTCTTTTGGGGAAAAGTATATTAATACTGCTCATAGGGTAGAGCAAAAATAGGTGTCGAAAGGAGGGGTTGGAGAAGGATGACACAAAATACTTCTTATCTGTTTGAGGGTGTTCTCTTATTTTGAAGTATGAGGCATATTCAAAGGCAATGTTTTTACTGATGTGGGTAAAATTATTCTTCTCTACTGTTTGGAAGTGAAATAGTAACATTTCTCCTAAGACAGCCAATATCTCTTGAGCATGGAGACTTGTAAGTGCTTGTTTTGGGAGGGAAAAAACAGTAAGAAGGTTCAAATTAATTAGGGGTACACTTTTAATCCACCTAAATGTTTAAAATTAATTAATTTAACTAATAATGTTGATCAAAGAGTGTCAAGACTATTCCTGGCAATTAACAAACATGCTAAGAACAGTTGTCTTGCAGTCTTTTCTGCAGCACATTTTGATCTCTGGACTCAGTGGAAGTCTAGGCTTAAGAATTAATTCAGCAATTAATTAACTCCCAAAAAGCTTTGCTTTGATATTGCAGAACATGTTTTTTTCTTTTTTGTTTTTTTGTGGAAGGTTCATTTGAATTATCATTCAGGGCGAGCATCTCATACAATTCCAGTGCTTTCACTTAGCAATCTTGGGTCGCGGACAGCTTTTCCTAATTACCAGCAGCATTGCTTTGAGGGAAAAAAAAATACTGATGGCAAAAGAACATAACTGTGCAATCTTCCCTTTCACATAGCTGAAAGCTCATCCCTGCCTGTTTTATATCGCAATTCTTTATTATGCAATGATATTTGCTGCATAAAGCATTTTTGTTCTTAACAATACCAAAAACATAAACATCAGAGCGTATTGTATTGTTGAAGGCTTCCATGGCTGGAATCACTAGGTTGTTGTAGGTTTTTCTGGCTATATGGCCATGTTCTAGAAGCATTCTCTCCTGACATTTCACCTGCATCTATGGCAGGCATCCTCAGAGGTTGTGAGGTCTGTTGGAAACTAGGAAAATTGGGTTTATATATCTATGAAAAGTCGAGGGTAGGAGAAAGAACTCTTGTCTGCCAGAGGCCAATTTAAACATTCACATGTAGCTCCAACAGACAAGAGTTCTTTCTCCCACCCTCAACTTTTCACAGATACTGTATATAAAACCATATTTCCTAGTTTCCTACAGACCTCACAAGCTCACAAGGTTGTTGTAGGTTTTTCTGGCTATATGGCTATGTTCTAGGAGCATTCTCTCCTGACATTTCACCTGCATCTATGGCAGGCATCCTCAGAGGTTGTGAGGTCTGTTGGAAACTAGGAAAATTGGGTTTATATATCTATGAAAAGTCGAGGGTAGGAGAAAGAACTCTTGTCTGCCAGAGGCCAATTTAAACATTCACATGTAGCTCCAACAGACAAGAGTTCTTTCTCCCACCCTCAACTTTTCACAGATACTGTATATAAAGCCATATTTCCTAGTTTCCTACAGACCTCACAAGCTCTGAGGATGCCTGACATAGATGCAGGTGAAACGTCAGGAGAGAATGCTTCTAGAACATCGCCATATAACCCAAAAAACCTACAACGACCCAACAGAGCATATTCTTTTAGTATTTTCGTATTTTGACAGCTAAAAGAAATATGATGCCATACTTATTTGTGGCTGAGAATGCATTTGTCTGCCCACCCACGAAGAACGACAAGAGAATAACGACACAACAACCATTATTTTGGATTCAAATTGGGCAACTTTTATTTAAACGTTACCTATTTAACTCTTATCTACCTCAAGGGTGTCAGGAACTGGTACAACCTAACCCAGGTAGTAGCACTACCCGATAATAACAATTTCCGGGCGAAACACCTGGGCTCTGGTATTAAAACCAGATACCGGAAGGGAAACGAAATGAGGAGTCTGTTCCAAAGCTCTAGTATCCATACTCCTTTCATTTCGAGGCCATTCAACTACACTTCACCCTTTAACTGGTGAATGCTCAACTTAATGGCCTGTCACCCCTTAAAGGGGTGCCCTAGGTGCACACCGACTAGAAGGAATTCCCTAACTCTTCAGAGATATGGCACATTGATTTGAATTGAATTTCTTTGGTCAAACATATATTTTGGAGATTCTCATCCAAGAAAAAATTGTGGTGTCATGAAGTCATTAATATTTAAGGTGTCACAGCACTGCTTGTTCACCTGCAGCAAAATATCATGACGAACCTTTTGAAAATTCTGTGTTATTCTGTCCTATGTAAAGATTAGTCCAGTAACAAAACAATGCCTGTGATATACTAGCAGTTATGCATCAGCAGTGATCTGGGCAAATATGTGTGTGTGTTAAAATGGCATTACATTTTGTATCTCGGAAGGGAACAAGTATCCAGCAGACAAGTACTTGTATACTTTTTGAAAAATCACAGAAAACAATCAAATTGCTTCTCTTTTTTGTCTTTGCTAAACTGAAGGAAGAATTGATTCAGCCTACCATGCAATTTGGCCAATGGCTTTAGAATGACAAGCTTTAAATGGAAACAAATGGAGCTACATTGCCTACCTTTGAGGAGTGTGTCTGTCTCTTGTGTTTTACTTTTGCCACTTCAGTAAAGCCAAGGAAATTACTTTTTTACTTGTTATTTTTGTGCTTCTATTGTGATGACATTTCGCTAAAGCATTGGGCTGAACGAGGCAGTGTTTCAGTACATTACAGAGTGTTCTGGAAGGAACATGTTGTTAGTACTCCTGACCCAGCATCAATTGGAACCTGTAAGAAAATAAGAAGTTATGCAACTTTTATTTTGTTCAAATATATCTCTATGTCAAATATAGAGTGCAGGCAGAAGAAATACATCTTCTAGTTGGGTCTAGAATACTAACTATGTCCAAGATTGTGCACCAAAGGCAATGGTGCAATGTATTTATAACTCTGGTATGAGTTCTAGTGATTTGTGATTATGGGTATAGGGACATTCCACAGAATTTCCCAATTAGGTATCTACATCATTGCAAGCTGGCAACTGTACGTGTGGCATAGTGGTTTAAAGCATTGAATTATGATTTTGAAAGCCAGGGTTCAAATCCCCGATTGACCATGTAAACCCATTGTGTGATCATGGGGAAGTTGGGGCACTTCCACACAACCCTATATTGCAGAATAACAAGGCAGGAAACCCCAGATTATCTGAGTGTGTGTCCAAAGCAGAAATTGTGGGATTTTCTGCCTTGATATTCTGGGGTATAGAGCTGTGTGGAAAGGCTCTGGGTTAACTGAGTCCACAATTAGATAATGGGGGATTTCCTGCCTTGATATTCTGGGATATAGGGCTGTGTGGAAGAGCCCTCTGATTCTCTTAGCCTCATAGGGATGCTCTGAATAATCATCACTGAATATTCTAGCCAGAAAAACTCCATGATAGGTCCATCTAAGTTGGTAATGACCTGAAAGCACACAATAACAACAACAAAGCATATGAAGGTGAATTGCACCAATGCAATACATCCATATCTTCTAAACGGGGCCTAGCTATGTCTTTGGGACTATTGAGAAAACAGAGCCAGCCTATTGTACAAATGTCCACCTTCCATAGCACCATGATGTCCTTTGCACAATGATCTTGAAAACATACTAAGCTTAATTTCCTCTTGGGAATATGGATGTCAAGCATCTTTGGAGTTCACCATTATGTGATTGTAAGTCAACTTGCAATGATGTTAATACCAAACAGGGTGTCAGCCTTTATTTTAATATAAAGCTGCATTAGATATATCTAGAGAATAAAAAGGCAAAGATCAATCAATCATGCTGGAGAAGATTTTTAGGGATACCACTAACTCATAAAAACACAAATCAAAGTGTCTTAAAACAAGTTAAGCTTTCACTTGCCCTCAAAGGCAAGATGACTAAACTGTGTTTCCCATACTTTGACCATATCGTGAGAAATATGATAATGTATAGAAAGATAGAAAGTGGCATGGGGGAGGTTGCGAAAGAAAGGTCCCTGAGCTCATTGGAAGAAAGATGAGACACAAATGTTAGCCATGATTATAGTTGTTCTTATAATCTGGAATTCATAATTAGAATTACAGTTACACATTTGTAATTTATTTGTATTTAAGACCAATTAAAATCACTTTTAAAAAAACACCCCGACAACAATGAAACTATTGTTTACTATAGTTAACTATAGTTTACTATTGTGTTAGTGTATTGTTATGTACAGATGATTTTAATTTGTTAACTGTTTAAGTGCTATTATGTATGTATGTATATTTGATATAGGCATCGAATTGTGCCTTCCTTTGTAAGCTGCCCTGAGTCCCCCCTCGGGGGTGAGAAGGGCGGGGTAAAAGTAACTGAAATAAATAAATAAATAAATAAATAAATAAAATATTGTACTGTTTGCAACCATTTAAAACAAATTGAAACACCACCAAATAAAAGCATTATACAGTATATATTTTGTCTAAAGAAATCAATTTTCAAAGACCTGCCAGAATAAAAAGATTGTAAGAAAAGTATTAGTTTAGTTTTTTTGGGGAAATATCAGAGTTTGGGAACAACCATGAAAATGTCCCTCTTCTGTATTCCCACCAAACATATCTTTTAAGCCTCTTGAAAAATGGTGAGGCATTCCAAGTCCATGTGTTATAAATATTATGACTCAATTAGCCACTCTCAGGGGAAAAGTGAAACGTAAATTTTTGATCGATATTGTAGGCATGGTGATGACAGAACTTCTGAGGATCGCAGACTTCATGTAAGCTCATATTACTCTGACATTTTGGAATGCAAAATGGACAAATTTCATTCTATAGATATGTGGTTTCTAATTTTGTTTTGCAGGCAATTCAATCCTCTGCTCCGCCTGTGTCCAGGACAACAGTGTCTATAGCAGAGTCTTTCAGATATTGTACAGAAATGAAGAGATTGTCATTAATGAATCTATGAACTTCAGAGTCCATCTTCTCCTTGATGGTGAGAAGGTGAGAAGTTTTTCTTTGGTTTGAGATGGTCCTGATACAAAAGGGTGTCATGAGACTTGGGTTGTAAATTGAAGGTCACAATTGTATCTGAGCTCCAAAACTAAAATGTGGATAGGTAGATGTAATGGGAATGCACTTTACGATGTGGGACAGATGAACTGCTATCACCTCTCATTAGGTGTGTCAAAGACTCACTTCTGATTATCATTTTAAGAGAGAGAGCAACCCCTCTATCCACAGGGCATGCATTTCAAGACTTCTCATGAATATATGAAACTGCAAGTAATTGTTGTTCATTCGTTCAGTCGTCTCCGACTCTTCGTGACCTCATGGACCAGCCCACGCCAGAGCTCCCTGTTGGCCGTCACCACCCCCAGCTCCTTCAAGGTCAGTCCAGTCACTTCAAGGATGCCATCCATCCATCTTGCCCTTGGTCGGCCCCTCTTCCTTTTACCTTCTACTGCAAGTAATAACAAACCCTATTATACAAACAATTTCTGGTAGAATCATTCTGTAGAATTGAGATTGAAGAATCAATTACACGTTTCCCTATGTTACATGTTATTCTTAGCATTCAAGTACTATGTGATGTTTTTGCCAGTGGAATGATGAAACTCTCTTCAGGTTCACTTGTATCCTATGCACCAGTGGCTCTCAAACTCTGGTCTTCCAGATGTTCATGTCTTCAACTTCCAGAATACCTGACCAAGCTGACTAGGGCTTCTGGGAGTTCAAGTCCTAAACACCTCTAAGACCAAAGTTTGGCAACCACTGCATTGCATTTCAGTTGCTTCACTCCTCTTCTGTAGCAGATTACACAAGCTTTCACTCACACAATAAATGGCAATGCTGCTCTGAAATCCCTCTTGGTTCACCATCTTTCAAGCTGTCAGTCAGCTAACTCTTTGGTAGCTTTATTTCCTTGGTACCACTTTAGTTAAGCATTAATAAATCCATGAGGAAGGTAGACCAGTGTCTTATCTGTCCAAGATAAATGGGTGGTGATTTGTCTGTCCTCACTGATGGATCTATCAGGATGTTTCATGTTCCATTTCATGACAGTATATCCAGTCTGAATATCTTTTTCTAATCACTCTAATCATCTGCCTTTTCCCATTTTGTGGGAACTGGGTTCTAATGGTAGCTTTTCTGTTTTAACTGTTATAGGTAGAAGAAGCATTATGTGAAGCAGATTTTCAACTCAAGCTTGACCTGCAGTTTACAGACAGTGAACAACAGTAAGTGCAGTCTTTCTCCTCCTCCTCCTCCTGCTCTTCTTCTTCTTCTTCTTCTTCTTCTTCTTCTTCTTCTTCTTCTTCTTCTTCTTCTTCACTAATGATGCATCTATACTGTATTATAAATACAATGTCACACCACTTTAACTACAGTGACTGATTTTGGGATTAAATATTTGACCAAAATTTCTGTATATACATGAGTATATTTATTTGGTCTAATAGCTGCATTTAAAAACAAAACAACACCACTCACTTCCAAAGATCTGGTGGAATGCGAGTCACTTCATGTTTCTCGCTTTGGTGTCATAATATTGGCATCGCTGCTACATGTACAATTAAGAGCTAAACACCAGTCTTGTAAATGTTCCTTGTTGCTGAGAGAAACACTGCCAAGTGCTAAAAATTCCACTCACACCACGGTCCCTGGGGTCTAATGATACTGGGGAATGAGCTGGCAGAAGGTTTTTCCCTCCTCTCAACTTTCTAAATCCCTTATTCTAGGCTGAGAGATGTCTCCACCATCCCAGTGATCAGCAGCCGCACTTTGGGGCTTCATTTCCACCCAAAGCAAGGACTGCATCATCACGTCCCTGTCATGTTTGACTACTTCCATCTGTCGGCAATCTCCGTGACTCTCCATGCCTCCCTGGTGGCTTTGCATCAGCCTCTTATCAGGTAAGCAAAAGTGCCTCCAATTTCCAAATGGGGGGTAGGTGGTGGTTCATTCATTCATTCATTCATTCACTCCCTGCTTGTCTTACGATTCTTACTATGTGAGCTCATATGATCTTTACAAAAACTCAGAATATTTTGTGTGCATTTATCAAAACTGTAAATGTTACATTTCCCATTACTGTATCCGCAGAAAGAAACAAATAAAACCAGTGTTTGTTTGTTTTTCTTTAAATGTCATAATGAAAAATCCAAAATGTATAGGATTGGTAAAAGTACACTCCATATTCCAAGTTGTTTTAAAGATCATATGAGCTTGCATCCTTTTTCGAGGTTTGCAACATATGATAACTTCTAAGGGAAGCGTACTACAGAATTGACTGGAGGACCTAGTAAATTCCTAAGCAGATTATTTTCTCCAGTCATGGGTAAATGAAACCATGAATATGGAATCCATGTTTGTGGGGATCTTACTGTAGAATCCCTTCTTTAGGGCTTCCCATCCAGTGGGGCCAAAGCAATATTCATTGGGTTTATACACACTCTTCTGATATCCATATTTTTTTTAGTATTATGAGGTTTTGGGTGGTGCATTAGGCATCTGTTTGCTCACTTCCCCTGTACTTCTTTTGGACTAGAGCCTTAATCTTCAGAATGCCCAGATTCCACTTTAATTTTCACTAGGGAACTCCCTGTTACTTTTCCTGATCTGGTGTTGGAAGATGATGAATAAAACTTTAGGAATGCAATGGAATATGAATGTGCTTCTGGATGAGGCAAACCCATGTTGTTCCCATTGTTACCTACATATAATACAGTATGTATCGATCAATCGATCAATCAATTGATCTATCTCCTTCCTATACTGTGCTGGTACAGCTGTACCAGGAGCTCCCAGTTTATTTGCTTTGTATTGAGTGTTTGCTTGCAGTTCAAGGTTTCAGGGATTCTGCAGATAGGTGGCTTCCTTTGGTTGCAGTCATTGGGCAAGTCACCTGTCCATCATCGTTAAGATTTGGTTCCGCCCCTTGCCCAGGGCAATTGGGAAGGGAAGGAAGCCATTTTTTTAGTTAGTCTCAGCAAGGAAAGCTAATGTACAGGATGTGTGCAAGCTTCCCCTGTACAAAAGCTTCAACCCTTAAGACTTCCGGGGGAAAACAGTCTTAAGAGCATCCAAAGATTCCCAAAGAAACAGCCCTAAAGCTCTGAGGAATTTTGGAGGGAAAAACAGCTTTGAATATCAAAAAACTCCAGCTGAAAAGACTACAGGCCTTGCTGGTAGGCCCACTCGGTGCTTTGAGACGCAGTTCAACCCGGTAGTGCCCACATCAGTTAGGTTTAGGTTCACAGTCAGCCTGGGAGAAGTTAGAAAGGGATTTTCCTTTAAAGTAAGGTAACAGTTAATAGCCACCAGTTGCACAAAAGCCTGGAAGCATTTGTTTAACCTTTTGAAGACAAGAGAAGTTTCTGTTTGATTGTTCCTCAATAAAAGACTTTGTTATATTTCACAAGCCCTCTAAAGACTGTTTATGGTGGAAAATTCTTAAGAGCTTCTCTGGGCCCCCTGGCTTCCTGCTGGGCCAAGGTTGCACGTCCTGTTCTGAAGGAAATTCTTTACAGGCCCAGCGCGCAACAGAACATATACAGTACAGCCATCATACATCGCAAACTGGTACCACCAGTGTTACCAATGAAATAATCCTTGCTTAATTTTATGGGTCCTCCAAGCAATTATATGGTATGCTTCTACTGGAAGCTACCATTGGATCATGTTGGAGGAGGTACAACTCTGGAAATTTTCCGGGTCTCCCAGGGCAACTGTGATAATTTCTAGCAAAGGTTGTTCATTTCAGTAAGGTTCTCTATTATCCATAGTATCCTGTTTCCACAATAAATTGGGGAATATATTCACCACAGATACAGAAGTCATACTGTATTTAACTCCCCTAAGAAAATGAAATATTTCAGCATCTGGATGAAGGTTCTATCAGTTGCTTTGCAATATTCCTAAATTCCTGACCTACTATGAATGAATAGCTAGAAGAATCACCTCCATTATTCCTTCTAAAATCATGTTACATACTGAAGATGATTAATAAGCACCTAAAGAACAACAGGAAAATAAACAGCCCTTTCCAAGAATACTTGTTTGCTATTACAGGGTTTTCCCCTCATTGAGGAATTTTTTTTAACAAGCATTGAAAGAGCTTCCACGTTTTCTCAGAACACTGCTGAGCTGAGGAACCTTTGCTATATCTGTCAAATTTAGCGGTTACAGTTTTAAAATAGCAGCTTGAGAAAATAAAAATAACACACTGTTCTTAGCACAGAAGGGAAAGCATGCATGAGGAGGTTTTGAAATGTGCCATAATGTTGATGCATTTAGCATAGGGAGTGAGTATCCTGTATTTATTTATTTATTTATTTATTTGATACACTTGTATACCGCTAATATCTCAGCCTAGAACAGCGACTCATTGCGGTTTACAGCAGTTAAAACAATCTACAATTTAAAAACATATACACATATAATAACAAATTCAATAACAAATTATTGGGCCACCAATAATAATCCCATATATCTCGAGTTGAAATCGCAATCCAGAATTCGTTGTCCATGTTTCCTGTCCTTAGTCATCAATATTCGAATTGCCACAGATTAGCCGAATGCTTGTTTGAACAGCCATGTTTTGAGTCTCTTCCTAAACACCATCAGCGAAGAGGCTGATCGTACCTCTATAGGGAGGGTGTTCCAAAGCCGGGGGGCCACCACAGAGAAGGCCCTATCTCTCGTTCCTGTATCTGAAATTTTTGGCACCGGAATTGTTTTGAATTTTGGACTTTTTCAAATTTTGGGATACGTGTATTTCTATATCCGTACATAATAAGATATCTTAGAGATGAGACCCAAGTCTAAACATGACATTTGTTTATGTTTCATAAACATACTTGTATGTGTAACTGTCAGGTTATTACATATAATGTTTTTAATTACTTTGTGCATGAAACAAAGTTTGCATATGCTGAACCATCAAAAAGACATTATATTGAACATTCACGAGAACAATTTTGGATTTTAGAATTTTGAATGAGGGACATTTAAATTCTATAGGTCTATCTTCAGATGATCTATCTGTATAAGGTAGATGTGCCTTTTAGTTTTGTCTTGACTTATGGAAACTGTGCTGGTACAGCTGTACCAGAATCCTAAATTTCCTTTCTATGCATATGATTGTTTTGGCCATGCATTTTGCAGTTGGGTGGTTGCTTCCAGGCTGCAGCCATAGGGCCAGCCACCTGCCTATCACCTTTAAGTTCTTTAGTTCCTCCCCTTTCCCCAGGGTTCTGGGAGGGAAAAGAAAGTTTTTAGTTCGTTCTTACAGTTTAGAAGCTCAGTTACAGGACATGAGAGCTTTCCCCACCTGAAGAGAAGCTCTGTTTCTTACAAAGCTCTGGGGGAAAATAGTCCCAAAGCTTCTGGGGAATACAGTTCTCAAAGCTCTGGCTGGGGAACTTACAGCCTCATAGCTCTACAAGCCTCTGGGTAAGACAGCCCTAAAGCTTCTTAAGAAAACAGTTTTACAGATCCAAAGGTTTTACAGATCCAGCTGGCAAATCTCTAAAGTTTTGGCCGGTAAGGTTTACTCGGATACCCAAAAAGCAAATTGGAACCAGGAGTAAGGCCCCATGCCAGCCAGCCTAAAGACAGATCGCCCAAGGAGGGTTCGGAGGGTGTTCCTTGTAAAACCATAGCTTTGAGAAAGGAAGTTATGCATTACTTCAAATGATGAAAAATGAGTCTTATTTTTCTTATGTCTCCTTTTAGCTTTACTCGCCCAGGGAAAGGCACTTGGCTTGGTAAAGGCAACATGGAAATGGGACCAGATCTGACTGGGATGTCACTAGAAAATCTAGTGTTTGGAGCTGGTTACTGCAAGCCTACTGCGTCTGAGGTAGGAAACAGCTGTGGATACAAAATGATTTTGTTTGGGGGAGAGATGACTTTTCCTTCTCAGAAAGGGAGATAAAATAAAGCGAAACATTTCATTGTTGAGTTGATGCTTGATGGCAATTGAAGCTCAAGAGACTGTTTCTTGTTTGTGTCAGGAACTTATTGCTTACTGCCATTGAGTCTTCTGATGCCTCCTGTCTCTTTCTTTCTTTCTTTCTTTCTTTCTTTCTTTCTTTCTTTCTTTCTTTCAAAGATTAAAACTTGGAAGGGTTACCTTTTGGACCATATCACCCAAAATGGTGCTATGWTTATGAGTGTTGGACACAGAGTATATTTTCAAGGTAGCATTAATGTAGGACCCTTCCTCACAAGCCCTATATCCCASAATATCAAGGCATAAAATCCCACAATATCTGCTTTGAGCTGGGTTATCTGAGTCCACACTCGGAGAATATGGGATTTCCTGCCCTGATATTCTGGGACATAGGGCTGTATGGAAGGACGCGTAGCTGGACACCATTTTAACTGCCATAGTTCAATGCTAGGATTTGTAGTTTGGTTTCACACTAGCACTATTTGGTAGAGAAGGATAAAGACCTTGTAAAATTGCATTGAATAGTATCAATCTGCATGAATTCTGAYGTATGGGTGCACACTAAGGACCCTTACACACAGCCCTATATCCAAGAATATCAAGGCAGAAAATCCCACAATATCTGCTTTGAACTGGATTATCTGAGTCCACACTCAGATAACGTGGGATTTCCTGTCTTGATATCCTGGGATATAGGGCTGTGTGGAAGGGCTCTCAGATAACCCAGTACAAAGCAGATATTGTGGGATTTTCTGCCTTGATATTATGGGACATAAGGTTATGTGGAAGGGTCCTAGACTTTGGGAAGTCAGGGTTCAAATCCTGCTCAGGCATGGAAACCCACTGAGTAGAATCCTTAGAATTCTCTACAATGCTCTTTGGAAGTGATTGAAAAAATATACCTCCTCTTGTGAACAAAGACTGTGACAAACCAATTTGGATTTTACGCAATTCTGAAAATAATTTCCCAGTTTTGAGAGTTCCCTAGCTATGATCTGGTTTGCTTTTTAGCTTGAAGAGACCATGTCAATTACAGATACAATTGAGATAATGAGCTTGTTTATCAGCAGTATATACCATGTTTAGTTATTGCTTAATGCTGCTTGTCAATTTGTAAACTTAAAATTCTCAGTAACATAAAAACAGATTGACTGTCATTTCCAACCCACATATATGTCTGAAAGGCTGTCATGGCCCAAACTTTCTGTTGATTCCATGTGTACCCTTCTAACTAAGGTTAATGCAATAAACAGATAATTAGCTCACACTTGTTTGCACACATGCACAGATAAGCCATCTACAATAGATGCAAGCATAAAAATTGCAGAAATGCACAAAGCTTTTATTTCCCCATTTTATGGACAAAGGAGTTTTATGGAAAACTGGGATTTGAAGTTTAGAAAGGAACCAGCACTCTTTGGCAGAGAAGGCTAAAGGCCTTGTAGAACTACAACTCTCAATACCTTGAGAAATGGCGGTTAAAGGAGGAAGACAGGAGCAGAATTCAAAATTATCTCAACAGATTAGAGAAATGATTGGCAAAAACTAACAACATGAAGTTCAACAGTGACAAATGCAAGATACTCTACTTAGACAGAAAAATATGAAATGCAAAGATACAGAATAGTGGACTATGCCTGGCTTGACAGCGGTACGTGTGAAAAAGATATTGGCGTCCTCATGGAAAGGAAGGTGAACATGAGGCAACAATGTCATGCTGCCAGTGGGATTTTGGCCTGCATAAATAGGAGTCTAGTGTCTAGATTCAGGGAAGTCATGTTACCCATGCTCTATTCTGCCTTGGTCTGACTACACCTGGAATACTGTGCTGAATTCTGGGCACTGCAATTGAAGGGAGATGTTGACTCTAAGCTAGAATGTGTCCAGAGGAGGGTGACTAAAATGATCAAGGGTCTGGAGAACAAGCTCTATGAGGAGCAGCTTAAAGAACTGGACAGGTTTAGCCTGCAGAAGAGAACACTGAGAGGAGACATGATAGCCATGTATAAATATGTGAGGGGAAGTCATAGGGAGGAGGGAGCAAGGACGCAGAGACTAGCCCTGGAGACTAGGACTCAGAACAATGGCTTCAAACTACAGGAAAGGAGATTCCACCTAAACATGAGGAAGAACTTCCTAACTGTGAGAGCTGTTCAGCAGTTGAACTCTCTACCCAGGAGTGTGATGGAGGCTCCTTCTTTGGAGGCTTTTAAACAGAGGCTGGATGGTCGTCTGTCAGGGGTGCTTTGAATGTGGTTTTCCTGTTTCTTGGCAGGGGGTTGGACTGGATGGCCCACGGGGTCTCTTCCAACTCTATCATGCTAAGGTGGTGTCAAGCTGCATTAATGCTTCATTGTAGATACTCCCTCGATGATGTGCTTAGTTGTTGTTTATGTTTTTGTTTTGTTTTTCAAAAATCTTTTCTAGAAGATTGAATCCAACAAGATTCTTGTCCTCCACTTCTATTCTTTGGCCCATGTAAGCTGTTAATTTACACCATGTGGTGGGTGCTCTTTGAGATTACATCGAACAAGTGCTAAACATCAGTTGACAAATGCAGGAGAGTATGTTAAAAATCTGAATACTGCAATTCTCCCGATAGTCCACCTGACTCTGTAACACCAGTACAAATTATTCTAGTGTTTTGATCCACTTGCATTTTTAGAGCAAATAATTCCACACCTCTGTCTTCATTTGCAGAGGAGATGGGTTACAAGCTGGCCTCCTGCTTGCTGCTTTTTCCTGCTTTGATTTTACATGTCAGAGCTCGGTGTGCTGCTGCTCTTGACAGACATCAGAGGTTCTTTGGCGAGAGTACTCATGGTGAAGAATAATTACATATCAAAAGTGTAAAGCTTGCCCTTATCCAATTTTTCTCGGTTTTGCTAAGTGACAAACCAGAGATACTGATTTTATTACTTTATTTTTCCAGACTCTGTTCTCAACTCCTCCTTCTGGAATCCCAGTATGGCACTACTAATTGGTGTGGCCATTCAAAAGTAAATGGCATTGGGTAGTCCTTCCTGCTCCGTTTCAAATGACAAAAAAAAGATATTTTAACATTTTTATCCTCATGGGGAATACACTAGACTAAAAGACAGAGATATGTAGTCTATATAAGCTCTACAGAATGGCAGCTTCAGAGAAATAGACTACTGAAAGCTTGCTTTTTTTGAGTGTGAGCTACACTTAGTTTTAGCCACTGTGATTCACTCTCCACTATGCTTTCAAAGTCACAGAACCATATTAATAATCTGTCAGGAATTTTAAGTATAGTTGGTCCTCCATATAGGGGTACAGGAACCCCATGAAAGTAGGAAAATGCAAATGCAGTAGACTGTCAGCTAACTGGAACTCAAGCAACTGGCAAAAAAAAAAATCCAAAAAATAGTACCTTAAAAATTAAAATATTTTTTAGAGGAACAATTCTGTTACAGGAAAATTGTGTTACATTAAGTTAAATTTCTCTTTATTTCTCTTTATTTGCTTTTAATTATAGCATTTCAATACTATTATTAATATCAAGTCAATACAGAGATTATGGTATAATATAGCATGTGGAAGAGTATTACTTAGGCTTATCTTGGATAGCAACTCTCAACCAGAAATTACATTTATCCGGTATCTACCAATCCCCATGTGTGATGATTAACTGAAGTCTGCTGTATCTCCAAAGGCAGTACAAAGCTTTCTTGGAAAGCTGGCATGTGCAGGCCTGTGCTGGAGAGAGCAAAACAGTGGCAATCTCAGTCACACATGCACAGGAGCATACACCCAATGAAGCCTATGAATTCACAAGCTTTATGGATGGGGATGGCAATTGGTGGCTAAGAGTTCTGTGGCCCCGCTTTGGCAAATGCAAGGGGAAGAACCAAGCAATACTGATTCCAGTTGCATCACCCATGAAACTTATTAACTTGCAAGCTTCAAGGGGGAAGTGGATAGCAACTGAGAACACTGTGGCCCTGCTCTCCAAAACAAGGGGAGAGCCAAGCAACTGCAGTGGGTGTCACCAACCACCTCACAGTTAGTTGGTAAGAGGGATTGCTGATGGTCTGCCCACCTGAACTTCAAGGCTGCTTAGCACAGAAGAATGAAGAATGTTTCATAGTGGGCAAAAGCATCATAATCCACTTCACCGGCAGTTCAGCAATGGATGGGTTCATTGCCCATCCCATGACATTGCTGAACTTTTAGCAGAGGCTCTGCCCATAAGTGGAGTGGGAGTGTCGTACGACACTTCCCTCCCAACATGGTAGTCTGCCCGAGTTGTGCTACCTCCAATGGAGCCAGCATGGATCCCCAGTGCTCGGGCAATGCTCCCCACATATTACTGAGAGGGAGTTGCACATGGGGCAGTGAATTCACCCTGCTGCCCCTCTTTGTTTTGGAAAAGTGGGACACTTTGCCTTGCTTTTGTGTCAAGGCCCTTAGATGATTTGAATGACCCAAAATACTTTCCTTCTTTCCTATTCTGACCCCTCTGAGATGTAAACAGATACTTTTAGGGATGTTCTCCACCATTTCTTCTCACAAGCCTTTTTTTTTGATGTAGCTAAGTTAGATCAGCATCCTGAGCAACTTTACTATCTTAGAATCTAGCTCCAACAATAAATCTTGGTTTCTTCATCCAAGCCATTGTTGTGTTTGCTCCTCAAATCAAGATCTCTAGAAGTTTCCTACCCTCTTAATGCACACGTTCACTCAGAAGCTCCAGGCTCCTGGAGGTGGTTGACAACAACCATCCTGGTCACTGGTGTTCCCTTTCTCAAATCCAAGGCCAACATGTGAATGTGCATGTAGCAACCTCAGGCCTGGGGGCGAGAAGCAGAAAACCCATACAAAATCAAATCCGTGAATTTCTGAATCTCCGAATGTGGGGACTTAAATGTTTGTAACTTCTATAC